GAGTGGACTTCTTCTCCTACATCCAGCGCCACGCCGGTGATCTGGAGGTTCGCCGTAAATACACGGTGCGAACCCCTGAGGGCTATTGTCTCTATGACAGTACCCTGAAGCAGCCGTTCAACGGCAGCTACCTCCTGGCGGTTCTGGAGAAAGTCTTCACGGAGTCTGACCAGCGCGATTTCAAGTCGGCTTTCGCCCGCAAGGCAAAAGCTGATTTAGTGGCGTACGAAGACTTGAAGGCGAAGAAGGAGTCTGAGCTGAATGAGCTCCTCACTCGACCATACGACGACATTATGATCGAGGAGTTCATCGAGCGACTCCCATGTCCACAGATCGAGGAGATCGAGGAGCCTCCCGCGGCTACTCAGATGGATACCTCCGAACCGTCGTCTGGATCCACGGACTTGCCACAGGGCAAGAAGGTTGATCCGGTTAAGACCGAGCCGACCGATGTGCCAATGGAGACTGAAGCTCCAGAAAGCTCTCCACAGGGAGAGGCATCTGGGGTTACTGTCGAGCCAATGGAGACGGACGCTCCGGAAAGCTCTCCACATGGGGAGGCATCTGGGGTGGATGTTCCACAACAGAAGACCGAAGCCACGGAAAGCTCTCCACAGGGAGAGGCATCCGAGGTGAAGGTCGAACCTGATGCGCACATGGGTCAGGAAGGAGGTAAGTCCGAGAACGTCGAAATGGCTGAGGAAGGCTCACCACAGGGTGAGGAATCCATGCCAGACATTTCTCCCGAGAAGGATGATGAAAGTGAACTTCACGATCAAGGCATCTGGGGGAAATGCAAGACCGTTCCGGATCCTGAGTACTACCAGGCCGCGAAGGATGCAGAGGACCAGAATGAGAACGCGTTCGACAAGATGGGCAAAGCAAAGGAAAAGATCGAGCTCGTCGATCTCGAAGAGTTCAAACATTTCCTTACGCAGCTCACCGAAATCGAACGACAAAGCCCTATGCGGATGCTCTGCAAGCAGCTGCATGGATATGGCTATTCAGGCTTGTATCATACAGGACTTCGTGATCCTGATTACGAGCCCGTTCTCGCCTACAAGGTGCAGCATATGAGTTGGAGGGTAAATGTTCCAAACCACAAGGGACAGAAATACTCTCTCTCTATGGTGGATCTATTCGACCAACTCAACAAGATGGATCCCATCTATGAGCGTCGTCCCGACAAGAAGAACGTTGCTTTTCGTTCTGGGGACGTTCGTAGCACCTTGGACGACAAGCTCATGGGCAAGGCCTCTGACATCCGAGAATCAGCACTGGAAGTCATGGAAGCACTTCTTGATAAGCTGAAGTCCCTGGATGCAAGCGGCAATCCGGCAACTCGAGAAGAACTTTTGAATGCTATGATTCACTACTTCTTGAGCGCCGGAGTCGATGAAGAGGAGATCGGGGACCTCTCTCTTGAGAAGACGCCGAATCCTTATATTCATCGTTTTGGTCTGGCAGAGGACTCCAATGTCCCTATCTTCACCAGCAAGACCAAGTATGCCGCGCTCATCCTCAATCTCGGCAACATGAGCAGGGGAAGAAAGCGTACCGCTCCTCGCTCCGTTGCTGATCACATTGACTGGGACGATGCTACACCATCTAAAGGAGCCTTGATAAAATCGATTGCACAGTCGAAGACGCATTTGTTCATGCTCTGCGAAGCGGCTCAGATCGATGACTCCGAAGAGGCCTTCCTCAAGTCACGCGGTTGGCAATTCCTTCGTAACGAGTCCAAGGACCTGATGGTGGGAAGTCGTACAAATGGTGTCGGATCTTCGATCACACGTCTTGCCGGCTCCACTCTCAGTGGATATGCCCACGAGTCCCTTCCAATAACCTATATGGTCGCGGAAATCGTGTATGGCATGACGTTACCGACCGGTCTCCAGGGCAGTCGTGGTGATGTTCCAGATGAGTCACTGACCAAGGTCTTGGAGCGAGCTGGATCCGACCGGCTGAGAGTTTGTGTCTTCCACCTCCACAACGACGCGGCGGCAGACAAGGTGGCGTTGGCTCATGAAGTGTTGGGCAACATGTTCATCGACTGCCTGCACTACCAAGTCGACCTCATCGGTGGCGACGCCAACATGGCCCTCTACCGGGCCACCGGCAGAAAGCAGGAGTCGATGGATATTCGTGGCGGGATGTACCAAAGCCTTCTCGACTACTTCTTGGAGGCATGGTCAGAAAGCCCAAAGTGCCCACACCTCTGTTCGCCTCGTGCGAGACATGTGTCAGCAAACGCCATGTGGCTTCTGAAACAGTATGAGGACACGCTGGGAATGCCATACAAGGAAGCTAAGCAACCAGACTGGAATACCTTTCCTGGTTTGGATCCTGTTATGGCTACAGTCATGGAATGGGGACACAGCATGTCGGACGATCAATGGGCGGAGTTTCCGTCTTCAAAGACTGAGTTCGACATCCATGTCTCTGAGTGGCTGTTAAACTCCACCAGCGCCGCGTACCTTCTCAACGATCGGGACTATGACGCTCACACTCCGCTCCTCATCGAGGTTCACGCGAACCAGTACTCTGGAGGCAGGATGAGAGCGCTCAACCGCAATCCCGACACCATGAAGGAAGCCGCGGACAGAAGAAAAGAGAGACAGAAGCTGAACAAGGCGCGTGGTTCTGGTTCTACTGGTCCTGCAGCCGCACCACAGGGAGCAAGCTCTTCTCAGGAAGAGGCAGCTTCTGGTGCTAAAGCTTCTGGTTCTCAACGTCCTCCAGAACCCGCACAACCTCCTGGTGGCAAAGAAGGCGGCAAAGGAGGCAAGTCCTCCAAAGGAAAAGGGAAGGACGCCGACAAGGGCAAGTCCAAAGGCAAATCCAAGGACAAGTCCAAGGGCAAGAACAAGGGGAAGAACTGACTAGGTTCCGATTCTTCGGACGTGGATATGGACAATGGTTCTGAAGAAGTTCCTTTGGAACAAGTTGGAGACGTTGCTCCAGATCCACAGATATCGCTACCTAGATCCCCTGCTGATCCCCGCGGTTACGACCCTGTTCGTCATCAGCCGGTGATGCCGATTCACACTGTCGACATCTACCGTTGGCATGGTGAGGATCATTGGCGTGATAGAACCTGGGATGCAGACCTAGAGTTCGTCGACTGAACTGGCTGTGTGTTTCACGGAATGCTTCTTTCATAAGAAGGTATCCACTTTGAGCATTCGCCATTTCATAGGGAGATGCTTTTCTCAGGAAAAGGGACTTCCTAAAGAACTCTTTCTCAAAGAAAGATACTTATCTCAGGATAAGATACTTCTAATGCCCTTATATATTTGCCTTGCCGCAAGATGTCATGCTGGCATCAAGTAAAGCTAAGCTTTACACCTTTATGTTACAGTATGCTTTCCGCCTGGAGAGGGAACTGAAACACAAGTGGGCAACTTTCAAGCAAAAGTTTTCAGTTGAAGATCCGTTTGCGTTTCGTGCGTGTTCTGCTCTTTTCATTGAAGCTGTCTTCAGGCTAGAGATGTATAGATTCTCTTCAAGTCGCAGATGTAGCTCAATACTCCGCTAATTCGACCAAGAGCAATAACAGGCTTGTAGATTGCCGACTCCACGGCCATGCAGCTCTACGTGTTTTAAATTTGTGCCTGGTTGAAACACTGAATGTTACACATCCAGGTGCCTGTCTGTTTCACGTATCACTTGCATGTATCCATGCCTGTTGCTCAAGGTTCTAGTGCAGTGGACTACAGCTGTGCGCCTGTAGCAAAAAAGACACCTGAGTGCCTGTGTTCCTGTACGCCTAGCGAGGGGATACACGTCCAGGTTACATCTCAGAGGGGGGGAGGGGGGGGGAGGCGGGGGGGAGGGCTGGGGGCAGAAGGGAGGCGACAAATCAGGTAAAATGAGGGAAGGGAGGCCTGGGAGGGGGGGGGGAGGCCGACAAATCAGGCAAAATGAGGGGAAGCCGGGCAAGGGGGTGGCAAACGAACGCAAAAACAGGGTGTCACCAATCATTTCGGGTGGAGGGAGGAGGATTAGGTGGAGGGTACCTGAGGTAACCACCAAAACGCCTGGGCCTCTGGCCTCGGCGGATTACTTTGCAAGCAAAACCCAATAGAAAGAGCAACAATTCGCCCATGCAAGAAGCCAAAAGCAAATCAAAGAACTCGAGAAACATGCACAGTACAAGGCAAAAGTTAGAAGCAGCTTGAAACCGCGGGTCCGGGCGGCAGCAGCCTCGCTGAAAGCACGAGACTGTTGGTCAGTCTGTGTTGCTGCTTGCTGCGAGCACTGCCATTCTGTTAAATTCTTCAGTGCTCCGCAGGTTCATCTTCATCCCGCATGGCTGGTGGCATGCTCTGCGGCCGTTGGATGACGTGACTGTCATATCTGGACCATCGAAGCTTTCTCATCATTACCACACCGAGGAGGCCACAGTTTCGTTGTTGAGTCTTGCCATGTACTCTTTTGTTGACAACACGGAAAAACGAACGTAGTTGTACCGGTGATGCCCGGCCAAGGTCGGTTTTGACCTGGCAGATGCAGTGGAGCTGCGCAAGATAGTGTGCAGCTGGCCGAGAGGGAGAAACGTGCCTTCGGAATGCCACTTGCTGACGTGCGGTTCTCTGCCAAGGCAGCTTGCCAGCCAAGCAACTCGATCTCTTGCAGGTGCTTGCAGCGACACAGCCACACAGACGGCACACTAAAGCTCTGCCAGGCAGAGCTGGGAGAGGAATACATAGAGTTCCTGCGCTTTGGCACATCGGAGCTTCTACAGTCGCTGCCGATGCAGGACTCCTTGCCACGTATTCAGCAGAAGCGTGTGTCAAACAGGGGTCTCACGTGCTGCAGAGGAGCAGCATTTCGTGCTCGATGCCCTGAACAAGGCGGGCAGTGACAGCAAAGCTCGGTCACTCGATAGCTCTAGTTTCTTATGGCACCCTGTCACGCTGTGCAGTGTCAGGCGGCAGGATAGCCACTTCAGGGGGCCTTTCACAGGCCAAACGCGTCTCACGCCAGTTTGCGTGAAGGATCGCTTACTTGCTGGAGTCCAGAGTCTGCTGTGCTCGCCCGTATCTCTGGGAAAAAGAGGAGCGTCGCCAAGGATTGTCACAAGCATTGCTGGCGCTTGTGGATGGATGCGTTTATGTATGCATGGCTGCATAGGGGCTTTGCGCCGGGCAAGTCCAACGGAGTGGCAACAACATGCATTTACAGTCGTGATGCAACGTCTTTCTTCAACTGGTTCCAACTCTCAGGCAGCAGATCCCGCATTTTAGGAGTGTGTGGAAACATTGCAGGTTTCTTTGTAAACCTGCAGGCCGGTCGTCAAAATCAAAGAAGTCGCAGTGCGGCCATCAACCCTCAACGACTCAACAAGTCTCAAACAACCTGCCAAGGTTGCAAACTCAGCAGCAGCTGATGTCAGTTCTTGCTGGGCGGGCAGGCAGCATTACTTCAGGTCTTGCATTGCATGTCGCATCATGTCGTGTCTCACTTCAATGACCTGCGCAGGTCCTGAGATAGGGCATGCGCAGTTCGGCGAGTTCCTTTCCCAGATGCAAGGAAGGCTGACACATGGAGCGGCGCACCATAACCCATAGCAGCGAGCCTGAGATGACGACCCGTAAAAGCCTGAGGCCTCCAAATCCTCAATGTGACCCGCCTGAGCTGATGCAGAGGCCAGCAGGGCCAGCTCACCCTTCTGCACCAGCTTGCAAGTGTCCCATGGCGGCAGGCAGCTCCTCACGGCGGCCCTGGAAGTACTGGCGGCTCGCAGTTCAGGCGGGCGGGGCATGGGCCACCGTGGCACCGTGGGACACAGAAAAAACCTGTTTGCAGAGAGGCGCGGGCTCCTCCGTGGACACCCCTCGCACGCTGCGGAGCTGCAATTAGTTTCAGCTTGGGTCCAGTGCCAAGCGAAGTTCAGGGTTTCCGTGCGGCCAAGGCTGGACGAGATGATGAGCTGCGGGCCGAGCAGGAGCAGCTTCAGCAACTCGGAAGCAGAGCCGACCGGATGAAAGGCTCGGATTTGCATGGCGCCAAGGCCTGGGATCCGATGTGACCGCTTCCCCCGTCCGTGAGCGCTGGGCTGGCTAGGTGGCCTCTGACTTGATTTGCTTTTCGACGGCATAGACGTCTCCAGATGTTGTGGGGATGCATCACTGAGGGTTGACGGCAGCTGCACGTTGCAGCACGCTGCTTTGCACGCTCCCCACCATGGGCTACACTTCGAGAACTGCGATCGTTCCTCGCCAGGCCTTGCGATGGGCTCCCAAGAGTTTCTTGCATCGTTCGACACCGAGTGTGGGCAATGCGATAGAGATGCAACTACATAGTGCTTTCCGCGATTTTCCAGGAGACCTTTGAGCTACTCCTATGGAGCATAGACTTACTGACTATCAGCTCGGTCACCTGTTTTCGTACATACCGAGCATGTGTGGCCAGAGGCCGGCTCGGTTGGGGGAGCGACCCCTTCTCAAGCGACTTGTCCGTCCCAGCTCTGGTTTCGAACATTTCACACCGCGCATGCAGGGTGATCGGTGTGAAGTTGGCATCATGCCGATGTGGTCTAACGCTAGCATCGAAGGCATGGCATTGCACACCTTTCACTGTGCAGGCCTCGGACACTTTTTTGTGAGTCTGGGAACTCTTGACCCAACTGGGAGAAGTCGGGCATGCTCGATTTTACGGATGTCCCAGATGGGTATTGAATGTTTCTTCTTTTCTTAGACGGTAAACCAGATTATTTCATCCAAGTTCAATCAGCTTGATGGTAACCGCACTGCAAGAGAGCACAATGCTGCGCAAACTGCAGCAGGATCGTGGAGTGTGTCGGCCATGTTTGTGCGGCCGTGCGAACTTGCCACATCATTCTTAACACGTGCTGTGTTTTGTGCCAACACTCTTTACGCAAAGTAGCTTCGTGCCAATGGCCAGGTATAAAGAGCTACTACGGGAAACCCTGCCGTCACCTGGGGACAAGTGCACAGACATCCCCGGGACGTCAGGACGAGCAAGGTTTCACCGCGATAGCCTCTGGGCACTGGACATACGCTGAGGGCTGAGGTGAACTCGTCCTTCAGGTTTGGGGCAGCAGTCGTACGAACGCTACGACCTGCCCAGACAATCCCAGACTTTATGACCAACAGGCCAGTACTGAAGACGGGCCGTGCCCTGATTCAAGACTGGCCGCAGAGCCTTCGGGGTCAAGTGCCTATGCAACACGTCTCGTAGTTCTTCATGGGGACAAACCGTAGACGCGCAAGGTTGGATTTCAAGAAGGCAAGAATTCCCAACGCGAAGCTTCAGGTAGACCATCAGGGCTTGGCATCAGCAAGCAAAAAAGAGCGACATCGAACTCGTTGCAAGTGGCTCGTGCTTTACAAGATCTCACCCAACGAGAATGAGTGTCGCAGGTGTCGACCCTCAGTG